CTTTAGGAGAGATGGCTTCTTTTAAACAGATTGATTAACATAATTTTGGTCAGAGGATTCCTGAAGAATAGAGAAATCCAATTTCAAGTTCAAGGGTGACGTGCAGAGCTGCAGTAACTACGGAGAGATAGGGGTAGAGTCCCAAGAGAGGAACTGCGGTGCTGCATGAGGAAGTCAAGGCTGACAGAGAAGTCTGTAAGGACGGACCTGTAGGAAGAAAACGCACAAGTGTTGAGGCATGCAGTAGGAGTGACAGCTGGATTCAAGGTCGGGGTGGAAGTACATCAGGGATCGGCTGTGAGCATCTTCTTGTTTGGAGTGGTGATGGACAAGGTAAATTTAAAATACCCGGGATCGACCAGCCAAAGCAGCAGACAGTGCACGCAAGCGGCGATGAAGAGTGTTGGGTGATTTGTAACAGAAGAGGTGGTAGTGAGAGCTGGTATGAGGTAGGGTTTGGAGACAGTGGTACTAACACAAAGACAGGAGTGGAGCTGAAGATGTTAAGATGGGAGCGATCAGGAGGGACAAGATTAGAAATGAGCACATCAGAAGGAAAGTTCAGGTTGAATGCTTTGGAGACAAAGTAAGTGAGGCTGGGATGGTTTGCACATGTGCAGAAGAGGAATAGCTGATTGGGCAAATGATGTTAAGTATGGAGCTGCCAGGTCAGAAAAAAAGCGGGAAATTCCAAAGCAGGTTAATGGATGTAATGAAGGAGGATGTGTAAGGGTTGGCATGAGAGAGGAGGATCGTAGCGCTAGATTGAGATAGAGGCAGATGGTCCAGAATGGCGACCCCTAAAGGGAGAAGCTGAAATTAAGAAGTTTTGTTTCTGCCTTAACTTTAATTTAATCTGTAATTTCTGGCTTTGTGCTTCAATATTGCAATCGTGTTATTTTGCTTTTTATAAAGAGTCAACATAAATAAAGTTGTGATCTTATTAGTAACTGTACCTTAGTGTTTATACAACCCTGTTAAATGCAATCTGTTTCCATGGGTGTATATGCAGCATCTTGTGGAAATCTCACCAATAGATGTTGAAATTATTAAGGATGGGCCAACAGGTCCATTCACAAAACAGGGTCTTAGACCATTGTTTTTTGGGGAATGCAGTGACAAAGTAACAAAGAGCCATATAACCAATAACAGTGCTGGCTCACTTCAAACTGGAAGTCTCCTATTTGAATGAAAGAGCACTCTTTTTAACACCTTATTGCAACTTTTACAACTAATTCCACATCATTGCCCAAAGTCTCTCCTCCGCCTCCATCCAGCTCTTACTGGTCACCAAAAAGCTCTTCTTTCAGCTGCAGAGAGAAGGAAAACAGGATATGAGTCTGGGTCTTACAGGAAACAGGTGCATCCCTTGTTTGCATCTCTTTTTTCAGTGTTTCATTGCTTTTCCCCAAGTTCCACTTTATTTTGCTCTAGAGACAGAGCATCAACGTACAGATTTCTAATTCTTCATCCCAATGAAAACAATCCCAAAATAATCTCAAAGTTTTATGAAAACACTTTCAGCTATTAAAGTTTTATTATAATCAAGAAGAGAACATGTGGCAAATTTTGCTTATTTTTCACATTTTTGCTTATTTT